TCTCTCTCTTTCTTTCTCCCTCTCTCTCTCTCTCTCTCTCTCTCTTCCTCTCTCTCTCTCTCTCTTAATTTCTTTTACGATTTGCTTACGCTCGCACTGTCGGTAAGCTTTCGGACGGGTTACATGCAATGTCATGCATACCTCTATTGGCGTTATTTGCATACTGCATGTTAGCCCGACCAGGCTGTGCGACGGATTGTCTATACATTCTAACCCTAGCAATACCGTTTCTTGGAGCTAACCAGAGCGCGGGGTCGTGGTGGATTCCCCACAGATTCGGACCGATGATAGCTCCCTCTGGTATTCTGTATCCGGCTAAGGTTGTCTCCTGGAGAGTTGTAATTAAGAGAGCATCGTTAATAATCGCATCATGGATCCTGGAATATCATCGATTGTAAAATAGCCAGCAACGCGTTACCTTTGATGACATGACCCTGAATGACACAGCAAACCTTGAATAAATTTAACCAAACGGTTTACTTTTATAAAAAAAGAAACGGGTGGGTGGATTCAATCTTGGATTTTCCATAAAACAGATGCACCTAAAGAAGATATTCCCTAAGAAGAATCTCCCAGCTCATAGGTAATTAAAATCGCATCTTTCCCACATCCCGCTTAACTTCTATTCCCGAATCACAAAATATTTTCCCGGTACATCTCGGTTCACAGAAAACTAAAATGGTCTAATCGCGCGTCCCGATAATAAACCGTTCCCCGTTTGAATTCATTCTGAGTTGAAAAAATAAATGAATTTATTAAAATATCTCCTGACCTTCACCGCAGCATGAAAGACTCCCAGAGGAATAACTGAACTTCTCCGAAATACTTCGAGCAAGGTGGCCTGTGTGTAGAGCAAACTAGCCTGGTCATTCAGACACGGTAGTCGACTTCGTCCTACCACAAGATCCAACTCTTCTTGAACCTAGGGCAATAAATACAGTGGTTATAGTAATTCATAAGAATTAATTTAGTAAATTATATTTCCCGTTCATTTCCGAGAGAGAGAGAGTTTAGTGGGAACATCAATTTAGTCAATATAAATAAACAGTGGTTACCCATAGGCGTAGTAGCCAAATATAACTGGGAGGCTGTAGAAATATACCAGAAATGTGCGTGGCGTGAAATTGGCGGCAACTCGTCTTTATCATTTTTTTTTATCATAGGTAGGCCTATAGCTAAACAGTAGAACCTATCCGGCGTGAAAGGTGGGGTTTTATTGCACATGTATACCCAACGGTACACTGTGACTTCTATGAAGGCCATGGTCGACGGGTCTGTCCACTGTGACGGACTGAGCCATGGTGCTGATGCACACACGTGTCGTGACCCGGCTGGCTGCTGCAGGTGCTGCATTACGTTGTTAAGCGTTATACCTTGCTCTGCTTGTCTGGATGTCGGATCATGTTAGGGAAGGCCCATTTTAGCCTGGTTGTGGTTCCGGTCTCGGATCCCGCGCCGAAGATATCACTGACCAGCACGAGCAGCTGCTCCTCTGCACCAACAATAAACGTTCGCTGTTATTTGCTTACGGCAGTAGTGAGGCCGGTACACGTGCCGGCGAAAGCGCGAGAGGTAGGTAGGGACACTATGTGCGTTCATGACAAAACGAGTATGAGTAAACAAAGAAGGTGCTGGATGGTATAAATTACAAGTGAGGATGAGTAACTTTTAACTGTGGACGTACCAGAGTCAGTGGGCGTCTTGATGGGATGGACTCGGTATCGCCAATGGAACCAGCGCGCCCCCTATTACTCGTCTTATCGTTCTCTCCCACGCTCATTTATTTCGATGCCGCCCTATATATAGCTTCATCCACCACACGATTCTCTGCTACATTCCATGTTTCTTTACAGCAAATACTTGGTGTATGTGATTGGTGTGTAGGAGCGACACCTGGCGGCGCCAACCTGAGAAGGTCGTTTGCTTTCCTGCCTTCCGCAGTTCGATCATCTTCGTCAGGTAGACGTCAATGAAATCGCGAGGATTCTCGGTGTCTAGTCTTGCCTTGTGTTCGGCTATTTCTTTCTCAAAGAAATCTGTCTTCACTTCGTTGTAAGAGGTTTTAAACCTGTGGGCAGAGAATAAGGTTAAGGCCATACGAACGGCAAGACTATACGTCGGCAAGCAGACATATTATTGCGATCGTGCCACCCGAGATTCTATACATGAAACGTGGTTTTGAAATGACACTGTTAAATGGCAGTAGGAACGTCGTAACCTATTTTAAGATTCTTTATTTAGCACATAACTTAGTTACAATACAGCAGGTGTATGATAGGTATAACGTGAAAGAATAAATAAACAAGAATAGTAAACTTACTAACAAATGAGTGCTGTAAGGGTCAAAGTAGCACTAGGCTTTCGAGTCGACTCCCACATATTGGGCTTCTGACATTAATGGCGTTTCTGATATTATTCGTAGACGTCAATGAGAGAAACAATAGGGTAATGGGCACACAGCTCTTTTGATCAAACTTCACGCTTTCCGTATGTTCCTTACGTCTCCGTACGTACCTTCTAAAGTTGCTGTTTGGCAGCAGGCTGATCCCCGGTATGAAGTTGGAAGCGTCGGGAGTGATCGCTTTGGCTATTCTATTCAGACAATCCAGGAAGCGAACGAAGTAAGGATCGTCGTGTGTGAAGTGCTTGCCGAAAACAAGAGAGCTGATGATAGCTGAAACACTGACGGTCAGATGGTTGTGCACGTCGAAGCCGCTGTGTCGATCCTCTTGCTTGAATATGTCCAAGAAGACGGTCACCTCTTCCATGATCTTTGCTTCCATCGTGAAGCGACCCATACCGAAATCTCGTAAACATGTTAAAGAGAAACGGCGATTTTCCTTCCACGCTGGACCTTGATTGAGCGCGACTCCTGTTAAAACAGGCACCAATTATACATTAGCAGCATAGCATTTGTACGAGTTACAAATATAAGGTTCATACACCGAAGGCATACCCCGAAGGCAGGCAGCATATTTTAGTGCGTTACTTAGCCGCATGCGTTCACGCGTATAATGGGGGCAGTGTAATGCGTGCAATGTCCATGAAGATTAGTCTATGTGTCTATGAATATTATGATAGCATTTTGTCAACACATTTGCATACTATAACACAACTGTTGAAATCCCATATATGGTAATGGCAAATTAGTAGTGGTCTGGTGAAAAAGGAATACCTTTTGTACATTTAATTATAGACTGGCTGCATAGCTCGTTATTGAACGTTTATGGTCAGTCAATGCGTTAAAAGGGGAAATACTCGGCATAAATACTCCGTGGCTACGCCTAGGGTCACCACACAAGATCTGGACGACAATACAATGAGAAGGGAACTACAATACGCGATAGAAGCTGGCAAATCGGCGATGTATGTATTCAGATTTGCGACTGAATCACCATCACACACACACACACACGCACGCACACACGCACGCACGCATGCACGCACACACACTAAACACACGCACGCACACACACGCGCGCGCGCACACGCACGCACACACGCATGCACGCACACACACTAAACACACGCACGCACACACACGCGCGCGCGCACACGCACGCACACAC